AATTTTTATAAGAGATGTTATCCCTCTTTTTAGTGAAAACGAGACAGTTTGTTGGAAAATTTTCAAAATAGGATTTTGACCTAAATTAGATGGTTAAAAACATTTTGTCGGTTAAAGTGGCTATTAAGAAAAAACAAAATACAAGAGCTTTAAAATATATACAAATTAAATATTTTTTTAAAATAGGTTATATTGATATTTTTATTTTATTATGTTATTGTAATTACATTATACTTTTTTTTTTTTTAAATATCTTAATAAGTTAATATATTTATATTTCTCCGATTCAAAAATTCTGGACAAACATATCACTATAATTTTATTGTAGTCTATCCCTTCTAGATAATCTGGATCAAACAAAGTGTATTTTTCAATCAAAAAAATCTGGATCAAATAAAATATATTATCTCAATGTATTTTTATTGACATCTTATTGTATTTTTTACGTTTGTGTTAACTAGTATTATCATAAACTATTGTATTATCTATGCTTATCCAAATAATTCAAGTTATGTTAAATATTATCTTGTTATAATTCTAAAGTATTTATTATTGTTCTAGATAAAATAATCATTGTATTTACTATGCTTCATATTAAACATAAAATATTAATTTATTGAATTTTCTCTATAAGAAAAAGTCAATTTATGAAAATATTAACAACCAAATAAATAAATTTGGTTAGTGTTTTTAGCATTCTATATCATTTTTACTTGCTTCATTTTTTCTTGAACTTGTTAAGTTTATCTAATTCAATTTATATTAGGAGTATTTAAAAAAACCCTAAACTCTAAAAGAAAATGTTATTTTTTAATTTAAAAATTATTTTTTTGGGGGTTTTATTCGAATGTATACTTAACATTATTTTTTATTTATTTTTGGTAGACGTTTTTTGTTCATTTATTTGTTTACATTCTTTTAGAGTATGTATACTTAACATTATTTTTTATTTATTTTTGGTAGACGTTTTTTGTAGTTTTTTTTTAATGTTTTATTTGTTTACATTCTTTAATTATAATTTTTTAATATTTTGCTCTTTTATCCGAAACTGGCTTTTAAAAAACTAGATCGTTTGAAACTACATTTTTTTAATACAATTTTGGAATGTTTTTTTTTTTTTTTTTTTTTTTTTTTTTTTTTTTTTAATTCTTAATTTTTTATTTTGGAATGCTTTTAAATTTCTGACATTTTGTTTCGTTGTGTAAAAATTTTGTTCGTTTATCAACGACAACTATTCTTTACAACTTAGTAATAGTTTTTTTGTAAATTTTTTTACCACTTAGGGGTATTTTCAACTTTTTGACGTTTTGTAAAAAATAATGCAAAAATATCTTAAATGTGAAAAATATAAGTAAATAATTTGAACATTTTACAAAGTTTCAAATAAACTTGAAAAAATAAAAAAAAAACTATACATAAATAATTTTTTCTTGTAAAATCAACAAAAGAAAACATTATATAATTTACATAAAAAATAAAAATAGACCTAATAATAAATAAATACTAAAAAAATATTAAATAATTAAATATCTTAAAGTAAAATTAATATTGATATTAAATAATAAAAAATAAAAAGTTATATTAATTTAATTGATTAGACTATTTCAAAAAACCAACTAATAATCAATTTCGGATCTTGTACTAGTATCATACTGGAATCGGTACTGAACTGTACCGAATTTTAACATACGAGACATTATTCAATACTCTAAAATCATAAAATTCGGGATTCGGTACCAGTAACAATGCTAATACCAAAATCGATACCATTTTTGATATTAATACTGATAATTTTAATTGTGTTCAATACTCGTGATTGGATTCCAATCAAATTCGATTTTTAAAAAATAAAAAATGTTATCCATGGTTACCGATTCCGTTTCATTTTCTAAATGCACAAACAAAAGACAAAACTGCAAAAATGGTCCCTGTTTTATGCATTTTTTTGGGGTTAGTCCAAACCTCGAATTTTTTGGATTGGTGGTCCTTTTGAGGTAGTTTCATTGCGTTTTTGGTCCCTCGGTAACTGAAATAACTGTAATGCCCTTCTGATATTTTTTTAAAATGTTTTTTTCTATTTAATTTAAATGAAAAAGAAAATAAATTATTAAATTGGACCCACATCTCTCTCTCTCTCTCTCTCTCTCTCTCTCTCTCTCTATCTCTATCTATCTATCTATCTCCCAACCGTAAAAGTCCTTTCTTATTTCATTCCTTCACAGTTAATCTTTAATGGCTTCTTCCACAGAACACTGTGTAGATTCGAAGCTGAAGGATTTCCCTAAGTTGTCGATCTATTATGGGTTACTAGTGGAGGACATGTGGTGAGTAGTGACGGGGAAAAAAGTACAGGATGTGAGCAAGGAAAGGGAGACAAGTACCTGCATTTCACTGAGGTCCTCCAGTAACCAAATGTGTTTTTCGACATATAAACTTCTAGTTCAGATCAATATGGACTGATTGATCAAGATGGAAGAAATCAGATAGCTAACCAAATATGTTTTCCAACATAAGAAATCTCCGCCGCCATCCACTAGAATAGATCTCGAACGATATAGGTAGAATTACAAATCCTCCGATCTGAAAATCTTTCAGTCGAAACCCTAGGCATTTCAGTTTGGTTTATTCACCAAGCCAAATTATCATCATCATCATCATCAAAACATGGCATCTCAAAAAATAAAGAGAAAACAATTGAAAAAAGAGATCAATTTTGATGAAATTAAGATGATTCTAAGATTAACCCAGAAGTTTCTGCTACAAAAAGAGCATGATTGAGATCTCATTCGTAAGTAATAATCAACATGCTTGGATCATCCAATGCTCTCTCGATATGTTTATGAGCTGGGTATCCTCTAATACTACTACACTTGTAGTATCCTCTGTGGATTTCGGGGAAGAAATAGTAGAAATTAGAGATGAATTAATGGCGGATTCCAATTCAAACTTTTTGATGGGTAATATATTTTAAGTGTGAAATGGTGAATTAAGATAATAATTTTACCTCGGTTTTCTAAATCATACAACGAAATGAGATTAAATTTGATGTCGATAGTAAGGAGATGAACGAGGGTGATTTGGGGATGAAAATCAATCTGGTGAGCTCGATTCCCAATTGTGGGGAAGGTTGTGTAGAGAGAGAGAGATGTGAGTCCAATTTAGTTATTTATTTTCTTTTTTATTTAAATTAAATAGAAAAAACATTAAAAAAAATATCAGAAATGCATTACAGTTATTTCAGTTTAACGAAGGACAAGAGACAAAAAAAAAAAAAAAAAAAACGCAACGAAACTACCTCAAATGGACCACCAAACCAAAAAAGTCGAGGTTTAGACTAAGAGGGTGTTTGGCTTAGCTTTTGTGGGGCAAAAGTCATTTTTGTAAAAGGATTTTTTGCAAAAGAACTTTTTATAAAAGTTGTTTTTTAAAAAGTGTTTGGATTAACTTTTGAAGGTAAAAAGTCAAAAGTTAAAGCGTTTGGTTTAACTTTTACATGTAAAATGACTAAAAAGGACATGTTTATATATTTACATTGATTTACTACTTTACGTATATTATTTTATACTTAATATTTTTTTAAATACATATTATAATTTTGTAAACATTTTATAAGAAAATATAAAATATAATTTTTTTTAAAAATATTTGTAATTTTTTGGATTAGAGAATGACAATATAAAATTACTAAGTTCATACAAATTGTAAATAATTCATAAGAGGACCTTTTGTATTAGACCAATACAATATTAAAATTACGTTCATACAAATATAAAATATAAATTACGTTCATACAAATTAAAATATTTCTAATTTTTTTGGATTAGACCATGACAATATTAAAATTACGTTCATACAAATTGTAAATAATTCATAAAACAATATCATAGATAACATTACATTCATCTTCGCAATGTGATTATATCTTGTGCAATAATATCCCGTATTGCTACCATATATAAATCACCATCGCTCGTGCGACATGTACTTGGACCTTCTTCGTAAACATCACTATCAGTATCACCTCGTACGGGATTGTAAGATTCTTGTTGTGCCCTATTAAACGCTTCATCAGACCTACCAACCTTTCTAATGTAGTTATGGATCGCCATCGATGCTATCACAATTTTCACTTGGTTCTTGTACTTGTAATTAACATGCATGTCTCTTAATAACACCCACCTAGCTTTCCACACTCCTAAAGTTCGTTCAATGATATTTCGCAATGATGAGTGGAGATAGTTAAATTTCTCTTTCGGTCCACGAGGTTCACGAATAGCAGCCGTGTGTCCACGTCGAAAATATGGTAAATGATAACGAATATTTGTATGGAGCAAGATACCCTATTGTATTTGGATATCCGGCATCAACAACGTAATATTTATCTGTAAATAAAACAAACATTTATTATTCTTTTCAAACAAGCAGTAAAAAATAAAACTTGTGTTTCAAAAAAAAAAATACTAACCACCCGTTGGATAGGGAAAATTAAGATCTGGTCTCTGTAAGGCTTCATTGAAAATTCTTGTATCATGTGCAGTCCCGTCCCAACCGGCCCAAACAAATGTAAAGCACATGTTAAAATCACAAACAACCATTATAATTTGTGTTGCATATCCCTTTCGACCAATGTACTTCACTTCATCTTTTTGTGGAACCAATGCCCTGACGTGTGTCCCATCTATAGCACCAATGTAATCCTTCAAATTCAAAAATATATCATAAATAAATTATTTGTTAAAGTTTGACTACCAAGATAATAAACACTGGATAATACCGAGGCTTATTTAATATATATTCGGGAACATCATCATTATAGTTTGTGTCTGGCTTGATGATGTCGGCACTCAGTTTTAGTACGGCTTCCAAAACTGTATGGAAATGCTTGTGAATCGTTTCCCCAAATGATTAAAAAATTCTTGCACAAATCTATTGCTACACCCATGAGCCAAAGTCATCAAGAATATTCCTACAGACTCCTCAATAGATACATTTCGTGTTTGTTATAGCCCGTAATTTGTAGTAAGATCTACGCATAACTGTCTAAAAACCGGTACGTTGAGTCTAAACATCTCATAACAACGTCTAGGATGGCCATTTAGTACTTCAGTAATAAACATGTGCCCTGTGCGGTCTGAAGTGTGACATGGCGTACGTAAGTTACGAGCAATCATTATCCCTTTCAAAGCTAATCCACATAACATTTCAAATTCTCTATCCTCTTCCACCCAACATTGTTCATTATCATCGGATGAATTAGAATCATCACTATCTATCCTACATAATACAATTAAAAAGATGTCAACCATTAACACATAATATAAAATGTCAAAATACATAAAGACAAACAATACCACATAATATAAAATGTCAAATACATAATGTCAAAGGACAACACATAATGTCAAAACATAAAACATAAATGTCAAAGCATAACATATATTGCTAAATCATTATTTCATAAGTAACTTAAGAAACTCCATTTTGGTTTCGTCAGTCGTTGGAAACATAAAAGCTTCACGATTTTGTTTTTTCGTGAAGACAAACAATGCTTGTGAAAATTCGTTGGACCCTTCACGAAACTCGGGAAACTTGATGACAATGGCCATGCAATCTGCTATTGTTGGGGAAGGATAATTTTGTGGATAAGTTTGTGTGCTTTTTGATGATATGGCATCCAATAAAGCATCAACTTTTTCTTCATAAATTGAATTTTTACTCTTGGTTGGACGGTTGTTGGAAACAGACTTAGACCTCTTCCTTTTACTTGAACTACTTTCATGGAGACTAGGAAAAAAAGGCCCATCATCATCTAAATTGATTTCATCACTATCTCCTTTGCCCTCCATATTTTCTTCGTTTGGATTGCTATTGTTTTGAAATTGTAACGGAGTCATAGTCTGATCTCCAACGACAACAGAATCCCGAAACAAAGTAGCATATTTCTCATCAAATATGCTCAAATCTGTGTTCCTAAATCTGGCATAATCTTTATTCTCCTGCAAGACAAAAAGATATTATAAATCAAATATGTTCAATCTATATGCAATCATAACTTAAAATAATTAAAAAGAATAGTAATCATACCTTTATTTTCTCCTCCCACCACTCAGGCGACGCATCTACTAGGCTTCTCGTCCCACCGAGTCCGGTTTCAAGCCTCATTAAGCGGTCATAAAGCTTCCACTCTTTTTTCATGTTCTCCCATTTGTTTGTTAGTTGTTTTTTTTCAAGGATGTAACCTGTTTTCTCCTTAATGCGTTTTTGTATATTTTCCCACCCAACTTTATCAAAGGAGCCGGTGGCTTTACGCCCCCTTTTTTTTTTTTTCAATCAAGCATGAATCAACAAACACCATGAAGGTACGATTATCCCACCCAAATTTTGGTTTTTTCATTTTCAAAGATGTTTCACAATCAACAACTGTAGTGTTGTTTTCATCCATTATCTGTGAATTACATATAGTATCAACATTTAAACAACAAACCAATTTCATTAACCATACTAAATGATTTCATTCATTTATCAAAATTCTAATCAAAACAGAAAAACATAATATCACAGAAATTGGTTACCTGTCAACACAATCCCAAAACAAAAAATTTCTATCAGCTTCATATTTCATCAATTTCTCTAATTATTAATCCATATTTCATCAAGTTCACTAATTATTAATCAATATTTCATCCATATTTCATCAATTTCACAAAGGTATGTTAATCACAGAATATCAATTTCAGAAATAGGAGGAACAAATCACAGCAGATGCTAGAGAGAAGAACACTTCAAGGAAAATCGAAAAACTACATGTCTTTGCTACTGAAAATTGGAAATCGACAGCAAGATATTGTAAAATCGACAGAAAGATGTTGTAACATCGGAAATCAACTGGAAAAGAAAAAGAAAACTTACCTGATCGGAGATGGAGACAGAATACACCAGTGTAGCAGGAAGATCGCCGATGTTGCAGGAACGATCGATCGAGCAAGATGCGAGAGAGAAGAAAGTGGGTGAGCGGAGAGAACGAGAGAGTAATGAGGGATATTGTGATTTGATTAGGGTAGGTGGGGTATAAAAGTAATTAATGGTTTTACCTGTTGAAAAGTTAGAAAAAGTCACGATTTTGTAACTTTTCAAAAAAACTTATTTTACTCTGTTGCAAAAGTTGATTATAAAAGTTATTTTATAAAAGTTATTTTCATTTTACCAAACATCTTTTTGGATTTTTTTTTCTAAAAGATAAAATCAAAAATTATTTTAAAAACTAGCCAAACACCCTCTAAAACTTCAAAATTATACATATCATAATAAGGACCATGTTTGCAATTTTGTCTAAACATAATTTACAATTCATTATCGCTCATTGTTGACCTTTATTGACTCGATCACAATTCACAAGTCTACACAGAGGAGCGATGAGTGGCAGCATGACATCGATCTCACCGTCAACACCATGGACCCAACGATCGCAGAGCAACAGCAACCATCGTCAATCTGCTGTAAACCTTAAATCGCCAACCAATTTATCAATCCCCAATTTCATCATCCCTTCAAGAAGAAAGAACCCAAAATCATTCCCATCTCTCATCGTCAACTCTACCACCGAATCCCTAAATCAACCCACCGGAAAATCCACACAGGCACCATTGGTGGTCGTCGGATCAGCCAATGCGGACATCTACGTGGAGATCGATAGGCTTCCCAAAGAGGGAGAGACCGTATCTGCGAAGACCGGGCAAACCCTAGCTGGGGGCAAAGGGGCCAACCAGGCGGTATGTGGCGGAATGCTATCCTACCCGACGTACTTCGTTGGCCAGATCGGAAAGGATGCTCATGGGAAATTGATAATAGAGGCGCTTGAAGGTGGCGGTGTTCATATCGATCATCTGAATGAAGTTTCCGATGAGCCGACTGGACATGCGGTGGTTATGCTTCAATCCGATGGACAGAACTCCATTATAATCGTCGGAGGTGCTAATATGTGTGGTTGGCCTGAAAATCTCGCCAACGATGATCTGGAGACTGTGAAGAATGCCGGGATTGTTTTGCTTCAGAGGGAAATTCCTGATTCGATCAACATTCAAGTCGCAAAGGTGATAAATTTCTGAAATTCAAAATTCTAGAAAACGAATAGCATTATCATCTATCATCTATCATCTATAGTTCTATACTATGCTTTACGATTACAGGCTGCAAGAAGCGCAGGCGTTCCTGTGATTCTCGATGCAGGAGGAATGGATTCACCAATTCCAGTTGAGCTTCTGAAACATGTTGATATTCTGAGTCCAAACGAAAGCGAGCTTGCTCGTTTGACAGGAATGGAAACAGAAAGCTTTGAACAAATCAGCTTAGCTGTAGCTAAATGTCACCAATTAGTAAGCCTTTTTTTTTCAATCATTACTATTTGTATCATAAATTAATTAAACTAATTGTGATTATTGTTATCAGGGTGTTAAAGAAGTACTTGTGAAACTTGGTGGAAGAGGATCTGCTTTATTCACAGAAGGAAAAGAACCAATTAAACAAAGCATCATCGAGGCTAAAAAAGTCATTGACACAACTGGCGCAGGGGATACATTCACTGCTGCTTATGCTGTTGCTTTTGTAGAAGGGAAAACCAAAGTTGAATGCTTGAGATTTGCAGGTGAACATATGCTTCTTATTTATTAAAAATCTTTATTTTTAAATTATATTTTTCACACTATAATTTCTTTTAACGATTTGATGATTTTGTGATTTGCAGCTGCAGCAGCCTCTCTTTGTGTTCAAGTGAAAGGAGCCATTCCAAGCATGCCACATAGGAAAGCCGTCTTGGATCTTCTTCAATCTATTTAGTATTTAGCAGACTGTTGGGTACCTGATTTGTATGGACAGTGTCCAGTTTAACAGACTGTTGTGTACCTGAATAATGTTTGGAATACTTTTCAAAGAAATACAATAAAGAAAAGTAGGATATGATCTATTTTAGTTTTTTCAGTTGCATACCTGATTTACATGAATTGAATGTGGGAAGAATAATCTTTTTGCAGAAACTTTGAGTATTTCCGTTCGACACAAGTCCTGCAAACGGACCCACGTAATGTTTTGAAATTCTTTTTAAAGAAATAAAATAAAAGAAAAGTGGAATCTATTTGGGTCTTTTTTTCTCTCTTTAACTTTTTTGCATGTCCTTTTTGAAGAGCATTATTAATGTACTATATAACTTCCATTATATTAGACAATTCTCTCTCAAACAAGCATCACTATCAAAAATTCACTATTTGAGAAACAAGAAATGGCATTATGTTTCATATTTCTTCTCATGCTTCTACAAACTCATCTCTCTCTTCATTCATCATTGTCCGTACAAAAACATCAAGGTTTCAAATCCAAATCCATCTTTTTTTTTTTTTTTCATCTTTTTCTTTTCATGTCTACAAATATAATGACTTTTTATTTTTATTATCAGATGTAGAGCTTGGAAAATTCAAATTAAACGATAAGGTAAGGGATTATATTCATAATCTCACTGTTTTTCTTTATTGCTTCTTGATTCTTGATGATAATTGTTCATAATTTTTTTTTCTGGTTTTATTTTGTTTAGTCTTTCATGGAAGATAAGAGTAGGAGATTGGAGTTGCATGAGGTACATTCGGGTCCAAATCCCATCAGTAATTCCTTCAAAGAAGAGATCCCTGAAATAAACTTACAAACTGCACCTTGATTATTTTTCTTTTAACTTTTTTTTTATTGGTTAGATTAATAATAAAATGAACATTTTTTAGTGGACAATCAAGATGGTTGTTGTGTAGAATGTGTTTATTCTGGTTTTTAGCAAGTTATAAATTGGTTCTAGGATATGGTATACTTGCAGAAATACTCATAAGTATGTTCTTTTTTTTTTTTTTTTTTTTTTGTTAACATGAATAATTTGCAAACATTATTAAATTTGATAATCGCTATTTATAAACATTATTAAATTTTTAAGGTTCTTAAATTCCAAAATTTATAAAACATACATTGTTTTTAATTAGTAATAACAAACATAACCTGAAAACTATTTTTTTTAATTGTCCCATGAATGGTAGAGTGGAAGATTTTTTGATGATTGGAGTATGATTAAGATATTGTTTCAGAGCCAGATTTTTTTCATCATTGGATTATGATAACATATATATGTATATGATTTGTATATCATATGATACTTTTCTAAGGTTAATAAGTAAGCCGGTTTAAATAACTTATTTATTCCGCAGAAACTTTTAGTAACGAAAATAGGATTTGAAATGAAGAATTTTTTTTTTTTTTGGTTCTTTTGGTTTTTGAGACATCAATCTTAGTCAATCACAAGCCAACCTTCGATCTGTGTATAATCTTGTTGGGGAAAAGGAATTTCTTTATTTCGAAATCAACTTTTAACTTGGTCAAGAGAATCTTTAAAAGCAAATAGTTGGAATTAGTTCACTTTTTATATATATATATATATATATATATATATATATATATATATATATATATATATATATATATATATATATATATATATATATATATATATATATATATTGTGAATTCCCATAAAAAAGAACTTGAAACAACGTCAATGGTGGTAGATTGGTAGTCATGTTTCTATGTCGGCAAAGTTAAATGGCTGTCTTTCATCCCCAAATGTTTGATGTTCATGTCTCCAGAAAATTGCCATAAAGGGGTTGGGTTGATCCATCATTTTTGTCCAACTCTTTTAGATTTATATAATTAAAATATGTGTTAATATGAATGTCAAGAACTATTGAATAACATTATGCTAGGATCAGTGTCGTAAAATTCGTTCAACTCATGCAACATATCGATTTTTGGAAAAATGGTCAAAAGAATTGGAATGGGTAAAATCAGGTAAAATCGGTCTCGGTAATTTTGATTTTCTAAAAATAAACAAGTATAATTGTTTATATCATATATTTAGTTATTTATTAAATTATTTATTGTTTAATTTAATACAAATTTGATGAAAAAATAAAAAAAAAATGCTATGTATTAAATGATTAAATAAAAAATAAAAAATGCATATCACTTTTTTAAACAATTAACACTTTAATATTTGAACATATATATCAATGTTTTAAAAATCGATTTGAATCGGAAACCGCGGAAAAAAATGGTTTAACTAGCACTAGTTTATGTCGATTTCTGCATCGGAACGAACCGATCGGTTTTTACAAAAACTGATTGAGCTAATTGTATCGTTAACACTCGATTTAACCAGTTAAATTAAATAAAAACATATGAAAATGAGTCAATTGGTATAAAAGACTTTGGTGATTTTTTCACACCTATCTAAACTTCTTTTATCATCATG